GGGGGGGGGGGGGGGGGGGGGGGGGGGGGCGCCCCACTGTGGGGTTCGAGGTGCAGAGCCCGTTCACGGTGGTCCCACTAACTGGTCAGCAGTTGGGATTTGGCAGAGCCACTAGTAGGGTTCGGGTTAGCACCCTGAGGTTTTTAAAATTTATGAAGAGTCGAACTTAGTGAAAATTTCACTATGTCGAACTTAGTGAAAATTTCACTAAATATAAGTCTGGATGGTGGATTCAGATGGATCCAGAGTTAGGAATTTTTCCACGTCCTTAACTCTGAGAATCGTGAAGGGACTGGAGTCAGAGATCTGAACCTTAAGTTCATGTTTTTGATTTCCAGAATTGGAAAACCACTCAAGTCCTTAACTCTAAACTATAGAGTGAGAGATCTAGACCTTGTGTTCAGACTTGTGATTTTCATCTTGTTCATTTAATCAAGTTGCTTTGTGGTTATGGATTGAGAGTTCGAGTTAGGGCTTTCTTGATGACGTTATTTGTGGTTTCTACTCCTTGGATTGGATCAATGATAAGTAGATAATATAATTTTGTGGTTTTTAATCAAGGAGATGATCATCACATTGAGTTTAGAAAAGACAATTCAATCGAACTGAAATTTTTCTAATGGTGTTTCGAAATTTGACAAACGAAGGGGTTTTGGGGATGCATGAAAAGGGTTTGATCATTAACAATGATTGACAAAGATGAAAACTTGTGAGCAGCAATCATGGATTTCATGTGGTGAAATAACATACAGATGAAAATTGTGTTTGATTTCATGAGATGAAATAACATATAGACGAAAATTGTGTTTGATTTCATAAGGTGAAATAATATATAGACGAAAATTGTGTTTTATTTCATAGCGTGAAACAAATTATAGATGAAAACTGTGTTTAATTTCATGGGGGTGAATAACATATATATAAACATTATGTTTGGATTTCACAAGGTGAAGTAACATATTTATGAAAACTGTGATTCGTTTCATAAGGTGAAATAACATGATGAGTATGTGTTACATCTGGTGAATCTCTATTACCAAAATGACAAGTATGCACTTTTCTAATTAAAGACAATTTTCGATCAAAACCAAATTAGGTATTAGATTGGTTTTCATAGTTCTCAACCTTTTTGTGATTCTCATTTGATTACCATCATATGTGTGCGTGTGTATTATCAGGAATTGAGGGAACTTATGAACCTTTACGTTTAACATATGTCAAGTCCGATAATGCTTCAAGTATTTCGTCATACCATACCAATTCGAAACAAATATTTACCTGTGACAATTTTAGTGGACGGTTGTTTTCCAAATTAGCATGTTATCATATTTTTTTACATGTATATATCCCAATAAAAGGATGTGTCAATTCTTTTTTTTTATTAACCTGGATATCCAGTCCGCTATGCGAGCGGACTAATCTCAGAACGACCATCTGCTTTACAGATAGTCCAGAGTCACCGCATTTGAACATTCGTAGCCACAAAGAGATTTTTATTCCTCCTTGGTTTTGAACTAGGGACCTCCAGGTACTTTTGACCTTTGGAGCCAAGTTCAAACCAATCATGCACCGCTTGTGGTTGATGTGTCAATTCTTTATGCTATGCTCTTATGATTATATATCAATTACATAATTTTTGTTGGGGCTTTCAGGTCCTTAACAATGTTAGGCATCAAGCCTTCACACATTTCGTATAACATCTATATTCACTAAACAAGCCTTTTTTTATCTTCAGAATATAGTCATTTATAATGATTTCATCATTCTCGTTACAGTGAAAAAGGTAAGAAAGGATCTCCGCCCTTGGGATCAATCCTAATTGAAGATCAACAATAATGAGATGCACATAATCAATTCCCGTGAGATCTCATGGAGTGGGGTGAGATCAAAAGTAATCAAGGGTCAAAATCTCTTCTTACGCTTCTCAATTTAACTCTTATTCTCACAGGATCCTTCATCTTCTCGTTATTATCAGGAGTAATCCAATATGCATCTTTTCAGTTATTTTAACTTATAACTCTAATACTGTTGTAGTTAATACGATTATGAGGATATAAATACATAATTAGCAAATGTAATGAACTTATATAATTCATTAAAAAAGTATCAAATTGTGGTTTTAGAGACCTTTCTAGCAAGAATGATCCAACAAAGTACCCTATAAAACACAAAGAAACTAACCATGATCCCTACATTCATCCACCTGCTATCTGATTCAAGCCCTCTACCCTTCAAGATCTCTCTCCCAGTCAACAAACATGTGGAACCAGGACCTTCCCCAGAAAAGCAAACATCTCTCCTTCCCCAATACTCGTTTACCAGCCACGAGTCCAACGGGTATCGATATAACGACACATAGTACATGAACACCCAGTATTTCGGGATCACTTCTTTTGGTATGAAGTACCCTGAGAAGAGGAAGAATGCACCGAGAACCGTGCAGATGAGCGAGTTCCCCGAGATGAAATCCGGCGAAACCGCGCTTAGGAAGAGAACCAACGAGCTAGCCATCAGCACGATCAACCAGACCACAAATATGAAAAAGGCAAATGCGGTGAACGAAGGGTTGAGCCCGACTAGCCAGTACACTGGAATGGAAAAGAGCAGACCAACCACAAAGAGGAAGGGTAGAAACACGATGGTGTTGGCGATCATATACGAAGAGGTCTTGTAGGCTCCTCTTGATGCTTCCTTCATCAATACTCGACGCTCTTGAAGGTATATGGGTAGTGCTTCTACGGTCGAAGAAAGGAGAAAGCTAAGACTAAAGGCGAAGAGCCCTAATCTTTCCGCAATGCCATTTTCATCATTTTTAACCTTTACGTAAACACTCCCTAAACCGAGACCTCCAACAACAGCTTGCATTGTTCTTGCCAAGAACAGTTGTTTTGTCCGATAAATCGTCTTCCAAAACCTTGTGCAAAGAATTAGAATCTCATGGAAAAAAAGTTTATATCGAGTTCTTGGGACACTTTGATCTCTTCGTAAAAGCTCTTGAAATGTGCCATTCGTTTGTTCAGCCCACACCGTGGCGAAAGATGGTTCCACGAGTTCTCTAAACGTAAGAACGGGCTCTTTTGAGTTATATGATGCTTCGAGGACCTCTTTGATTTCCATGGAGAACTCGAGCGCATTGAGTTGCGCTGGGATTTCAAACCCCAACTGGTTAATGGTCTCCTCAAGTGATTCAAGGGAACCATTATGGACCACAGAACCGTTAGAGAGAATTAAGAAGTTGGAAATGTATTGGAGGACTCTATAACTCGGTTGGTGGATTGACAGAATGATGGTTCGTTGCTTTGAACTTGCCATGTTTGATAATAGCTCGATCACTTGAAGGGCCGAGCTACTATCTAACCCCGATGTAGGCTCATCGAGGAGTAAAATGGGAGGATCAGGAATCATGTCGACACCAATCGACACCCTTTTCCTCTCTCCTCCCGATATTCCTCGATCATCTTCGTCTCCCACGAAACTATCACGAACATGAACCAACCCAAGTTCACGCAATAAACAATCAACCCTCTCTTCCTTCTCTTTGGAACTCATTTCCTTTAGCATAAACTCGGCACTATACATCAAGGTTTCCTTCACAGTTAGCAAAGGAAGCAAGTTGTCCTCCTGTGCCACAAACCCACATATCTTCTTCATCTGTGAAGGACTCGTAATGGGAAAATCGTTAAGAGAAATAGTGGTTTTGGGATCCAAAGTGTTGTCTCTAACACGACCAGAAACAAAGTGAAGCAAACTCGACTTGCCGCTGCCACTTGGCCCGACGATCGCCATGATCTCCGAGCTTTGAGCAACAAAGGAGACCGACTTGAGGATATCGACACGCTTTGGCTTATTCAGGAGCCATGAAAGTCCAGGAAGTGTCATTTGGGTGTCTCTGTTGATGGTGTAGGAGAGATTTTTGACAGTGAGTTTGTAGGATAGTTTGGAGGGGTAAGATGATGATGGTGGTGAATGGCGGGAGGAGGAGGACGGGGTGGTGGTGGATTGGTCCGGGGAGTCGTCCGAGGCAGTGAAGAGAGCTGCGGAGTCATCTTCTAGGGTGGTTGAATGGTGGAAGCAAGATGCCATTTTTGAGTTGAAGTTATGGAAGTTAGGATAAGAAGATGAAATAAGGGGGGTTAGGAGAGTTGGGTGGGCTAACCCAGGCTTCACTGGTATAGTGGGTTTCCTAAGCATTAGGCGATCTTTGGTGAACCAACTTTAGGTTTCTTGTTCACCAAAGTCATTGGAAGGTAAGACTATGCCGAGCCCCACGAATGGCAGTGGGGGACTATCTATCTGCATTTTTTATATAAGTTTTCACATTCAGAGTACGTTTTTATATAATGTGTAAATTGAAATGAAAATAAATAAAACTGAAAAAAATAAAAAGGATGAAGGAATTATGAATAAAGGTCATGCCTCACCCCTGTATAGATTGAACTCCAACAGATATCCTTCCTCTACTCTTGAATCTTGATTTGTTCTTCCTACATTATCCTTTTTATAAACAATTCAACATTTGATTTACGTTAGTTTCTAAAAATAAAATACATTTTTTTATAGAAAAATCCAAAGTAACGAGTTCAGTTATTTACATAGTAAAATGGTAAGGTGGACCATTTACCATGTTTCATTTAGTCTACGGCGGTGTCTATGGTCATGTCTCACCCCCGTTTACACTCCACCTGTTTAATATCAGGTACCAGCTCAACTTCTGAATCGGGCTACAAAAATTTCGTACAAATACTATTACACCACAAATAAAATAAAAGGATCGTTTTTAAACTATTAACATGAACACATGTATATACCTGCCAGAGTTGTAATAGTCGCCATAAGATGAAATCAATTATCATAACCAAACAGAAAAGCTTGCCTGCCCAAGCACCACATGTGAGGTACCTACATCAAATTCATGATATCTTAACATCAGCTAAGCTAAGTGATAACAGAATCAAATGTAGTGGTGATGGTCGGTGGTCAACAGTGGTTGTGGAGGTGGCGGAGGAGGTTGTTGTAGTGGAAGAGGAGGAGGTGGCTAACAGTGGCTATAGGTGGTGAAAAGCAGGTTTATTCCATGGTAAACCGGTTAATATGAGCTCCCTATAATCCTGCTTGTTCCAGGCTTTGAAACTACTTGATTGATCGGATATGTAGCTTATCAAGTTGCGATATGGATGGGAAGCCAAATGCTTGCCAAGAAAATCATGAGGCAAGGCCCCCTATTAAAAGTAAGGGTGTCAAGAGATGCCAGAAATGTCAAATTCCATCGTTGTAAGGCGTAAGGGGGAGGCCTTGGTCAATCAATGGCAGTACCTCCCACTCCCCCTCCCTTGGAAAATCAACGAATTGAATGGAATGATTTCTCATTCCATTCCAGTGGCTTAACCAATGACCAATGGTGAAAACTAAAAAATCCATAAGTGGAATACGTTTGAGTGAATTACTTACCGCAGTCAAAGCCAATAGGGTTTTCATATCATGGATCTTGGTTCACGTTGTATGGCATTTCCAAAAAGAAAGCTTTGCCTTAGACTCTATCGAAACAAAGCAAAGACGCCCCTCGTTCTAGAGCCAGCGGGTTCTGAATGACCCCCCGCTCGGAATAACCCGCAGCCGACAGATGTCCCATGCCACGTTTCTCATGAAAAATATTTCATTCGCTCTGCTCGACACCAGGATCATGCCCAGGGAAGAAAAATGGAGAGAGAAAGAGTAGATGGATTAGGGGAGATTCCCCTTTTGATTCGATTGGAGTTCTATGGTGGGAAAGAAGTGGTGGTAGCGGTTGCGACTAGCGGTGCCATGGCGACCATTGAAACAAATACCATATTAAGGTTATATATCATAAGAGGGTAGATTAGTAATATTTTAGTTTATGTCTCATCCTTGGTGAAACAAGAAAAAGCCTTTTTTGTCCCACCTTGTCCTGTACCTGTCCTATGTCGCATCAAACGTGGAAGAGTGAGTTCTTGTCCTGTCCCATGTTGCACCAAGCATGGGGCTGTGAGTTTTGTCTCATCATGTCCTATCCCACGTACCAAACGCAGACTTAAATCCCTTGACAAGGGTTTGATTTGCAATTCTTATTATATAAGAGAGCGATACATAGAATCCTAGGTAATACCTAAATATACATAAATTAGGAAGGGGGCAGTTGAAGGCTTGAAGCATGAGGGAAGACCGGAGAGTGGACATTAAATCGAAGAATGAGGAAGGGAGACCCTCGGTGAAGATGCCGGCATACTGAAATTGAGAAGGCAGGTGTAGAACATGCGCATGGGCAATCTTTTTTACGAATGAAATGTATGTCCATCTCGATATGTTTAGTTTGTTGATACAGAACCGGATGATGGAGAGATGTACCGCACTAACGTTGTCATAATAAACCAATGTGACCTTGCTAAAAGGGCAATGCAACACCGGTATCCATTAAGCTTCAGCCACAACATCGGCCACGCCTTTGTTCTCGGCTCCACCGGCACCGGAGCAACACAAAGTGACCTAACATTTAGAAGACCATGAAAGCAAATTACTCCCAAAAAAACGCAAGACCCATACATGAAGAGATATGTGCCCAAAACCCGCCCTAATCAATGTCCATATAAGTGGTCAGAATGGTCGGAGGGGAGGCATAAAGATGCAAGTCAAGGTCCATAGTGTCGTGCTTATAGCGCAAAATACACTTCAGAGCAACAAGGTGGGGCTCATAAGGGGCATACATAAATAAGCAAGGCTGTTAAATCGTGTAGCTAATGTCACGAAGGGTAAATTTGTGGTATTGCACAGCACCGGCTAAGGTGCGATACAAATTGGGGTCGGAAGCATGTCAACACTTGGTTTGGCCTTTTTATCAACTCGAGTAGAAACCGGCTTGCAGACTGTCATTTTGGCCTTCTGTAAAATCTGCAAAACATACTGTCTGATTGAGGAACATGGCATCATTTGGGCAACGAACCGAGATGTCAATAAATTAACTAAGAGCAACCAAGTCAGTCATAGCAAACCGGGCTTCAGAAAAGAGATCACCATGCACAGACGCATCGGAGGAATCATTGGGTACAATGTCGCGACATACAAGTGCAAAAAAATCATGTCAACCCAAGCTATATACAAAAAATAAAGAATCACTCTTACCGCTGATGCACCCAAGGTGAGTAATGTGAGTAGCAAACCTTTGATTCCAAGCATGATGAGCATGTTAAACATCATATAAAGATTTGAGAAGGCGACAAACATGGCCAAATGGAGCTTCAAAACCTAGAGGAGGATGTGTATAGATGACAATGTAAAAAGGCTTTCTTAACATCCAACTTCTGAATAGAGCAAGAATAAGAGAGAGCAACACTAAGAACAGTCTGGAACTAGACCAAATGTTTTGTCGGAGTTGACTAAGACTTGCCATTAACAACTAAGCAGGCCTTATGCCGCTAAAGAGCGGCATTTTAACATCAGGGAGTCGACTAACCATGTCCCAAGTTTCATTCTTAAGCAGAGCACGATAGCTCTCTTGCAAAGCAGCATTCCAATTAGGGTCCTTAAGGGCACTAAGGTGGGAGCAGGATATAGAAATATGGTGGTGAAGTGAAGATTATAAGTCAACTTGGGTTTTTAAACACTATGTTGGCTCTGTGTGTCATTGAGTGACAAGGTGAAACTACGAGAAGAGGGTCAAATAAAGTACGAATGGGATCAGGGACGGCTTTCCAAAGGGGATTGTTTTTGTAGTAGAGGCATGGGAGATCAGGGTAGGAGCACGTAAGCCTTGGGGGTGTGGCATGGGATGGTGAGTTGGAGAGGTAAGGATGTTGTTGTTATAAGGAGTTGGGATAGCAAGAAGGCCTCAAGTTGCCCATGGAGTTTGTTAAGACAACGGAGGAGGTTGGTAGGGAGATTAGGGACTTGATGGGTGTATACTTGGCCAAATCAATGAGCAACATAGATAGGAAGGGACTCGGAGGACATGAGAAAGTGATGCACAACAAACAAGGAGGGGTCGTCATGAGACAAAATAATAGAACGATTTTAAGAAAAAACCAAGGCTTGAAATGGGAAAGACCAACTCATCAAAGGTCTTATGACAAGAGATGGTAATTTAGTTTATGAAGAGTCGAGCAATATTAGCCACGATGGCTTGAAAGGTATCCCAAGAAGACATAGGGAAACAAAATAATATTAAAAAAAGAACCAAGCATCCGGACGTTAAAGTGGAGGCATCCAGCTATTAAAGTGGAGGCATACGCCTTAATAGTGCTCACCGCCTCACAGCCCCATGCATCACCTTGACTATACAAGGCATATGATTCAAAGATACAGTGAAAAGAGGCGCCTCAAAAGCAGTTTTATGTTGCCTCGCCTCGAGGCGCATGCCTCAAACGATTTTGAAAACCACGATGACAGTGATTGTAAGGGATGTGAAGATAGTGGACAGTGGTGGAGGTAGTCGTGGCTGATGTGGTGGTGGTGGGGGTGGTAGTGGTAGCCAATGGTGGTATAGTGGACAATGGCGACTTTGGAGGATGTAAAGATGGTGAACAAGAGTCGTGGTAAAGGTTGTTGCAACGATAACGATGGTGGACATAGAGGCGATGGTGGTCGGTGGCCGACAATGATTGTGGAGGATGTAAAGGTGGTGGAGGAAGTAGTTCGTGGCCAACGTGTTGAAGGCAGAGGTGGTGGTGGGTGGTAGTATTGGTAGCTAATTGTTGTGGTCGTGGTTTCTGTAGAGGTGGTTGACAGTGGTGGTAGAGTTGGTGGATGAGGTTGTAGTAGTGGAGGTGGTGATGGTGGTCGTGGTGGCTGCCGGTTACCGTTGGCGGCGACGACGACGATGGACGGTGGTAACCATTAAAACAAATACTATATTAGGGTTATATCAAATAAGGGTAGATCAGTAATATTTTAGTTTTTGTCTCATCCTTGTCCCATCCTTGTCCCATCTTGTTCCACCTATTTTGGTGGAACCAAAGTTGTTAAAGACCAAGGCGCAAAGAGGTCCAAGGGCCTAGGCACTTGGTTTTAAAAAGCGCGATGCGGTCCGATGCGTTAAGGGTCCCGGAAGCCGATGCGTGATGCGTGATGCTGATGCGCTCGCATCACGCACGTGATGCGCCCGGTATTCAAAAAATATTCATAAATTAATTCTACATATCAATTTCTACCTTAAAAATACTTACCTATCAAAATRYTTCATTTATAAYATAAAGTAGTTAAAAAAGTGGCATTAGAATCTTAAAAAGTTCGTGAATCAGAATAACAGAAGTACATAACACACAAACTACTACCATGAAGAACACAATTACACAAGTAAATGTCTAATAGTCCTAATCCCTAAGCTGGTCGACTACTGCTGCTGCCGCTGGTATGACTAATTGACTATCGACTACTGCTGCTGCTGCTGGTATGAGTATGACATATGACTATCGACTACTGTTGCTGCTGCTGGACCGCCTATCGACTACTGCTGCTGCTGGACCGCCTATCGAGTATCGACTACTGCTGCTGCTGGTGGTATTACTATCGAGTATTGACTACGACTGCTGCTGCTGGACCGCTGGTATTGAGTATTGACTATCAAGTATCGAGTATCGACTACTGCAGTACTGCTGTCAGCTTCTAGATTAGGTCGCTTCGCTACTCGCTAACAGTCAGTCCACGTTCTATCGCTAAAAGTCACTCAGGTTCTATTTTACATAACTAAGAAGCCCAACTAAAAAGCCCAAGTAAACACTGAAAAAGGGAGCCCAAAACGCAACATACATGATGCGCTGATGCCTAAGTGATGCACGCATCGTCTGATGCGTAGGTGATGCGTTCGCATTTGTGGAATCGCATCGCATCAGACACTTTGATGCGTTCTGTCCAGCGCATCAGAGCGCATAATGCGCGCATTTTTAAACCAAGCCTAGGCGTGGGCCTCACGAATGCGAGACCCATTGTATAAAAAAAAATATATATATATATATATATATATATACATACACACATAGTAATACACAACTCAAATACCATTATATAGAAAGTAGTAATATCAACTCAAATACCATTGTATAAAACATAGTTCAATTTAAATTTCCAAAAAGTAGTAATATCAAACATATCTCAATAAGGTTTAAGCCTCCAAAGCAGCAACCAGAAATCCAGATTCCATAAGAGAGCCATGAGGAAGAAGTATAAGGTTTAAAGCCGTGAGAGAGAGTACAATGTATGGGAGGTATTTATAGGAGATGATTTATTAGAATTGAATAGACTTATCTAATAACTCTTTTTTGTAGAAGTCTAGGAGGTCAAAAGACATAATTAATATTAGGTTTTCACTTATTTAATAACAACTTTTTGTAAAAGTCTAAGAGAAAAGAAAATTATTTCAATTTAGGGAAGATCTGTATAAGGTGCGCCTAAGCCCATTTTGCGCTCAGCCAAGACATTGCGCCTTGGTAACTCGCCTCACCTTGACATGGAAAAAGCCCAGTCCTTTGCGCCTAGGCGCGCCTGCTTTTCCACAACTATGGGTGGAACAAAAAGAAACTTTTCTAGTCCCACAGTGTCCCTGTCCCATGTCACGCCAAATGTGTTACAATGAGGTTTTGTCTTGTCCCATGTCGCACCAAACGTGGGACAGTGAGTTTTATCTTGTCTCATGTACCAAACGTACCCTTATGGGACTAGGGTCCATGTCTGTGTTGTCAATGTCATGAAGGACACAATGAGCACGGGTAGCAATTTGAAAGAGCTTGGCCTATGAGTGATATTTGCATTTTTGTTGAATCATGAGCAAGAGTTGTTAAATTTCAGATGTTGCCCACTGTTTGTGGGGAATGCAAGAAGTATGGCGGTGGTGTGGCCTTGTCCACGATGGTGTGACCTTGTCCCCAAAGAGAAAGAAGTAGCGCCAAAGTCTTGGAAGAGAGAGGAGCAGCGGTTGGGAAAGCAGACTGTTGATTGCACTATATTAAGAGAGAAGGCAGAGGAAATAAGAAAAACTTTAGGTCAACAACGTGAGGCTCTAACACAATGCTAGAGTACGATTGAATCCCTTGAAGAGGGTTCGAGGTGCATTCTCATCATATAACAAAGTGATACATACAATCTTAGGTAAAGAAGGAAAGAATAAATAATGATACCTATATATGCATTAATACATAAATAAAGAAATAAAGAAATAAGAAAATTTCACATAAATAAATTATTTGCATAATATATTTACTATCATGAACTTATTAAGCACATACCGTGGAAGTCTTTCCAAGAGGGTTTGATTGGAACATCCCAAGGCACGATCATACACAATCTCCGTTCTTTTGGCAACATCGTGCCAACTATACATGCCTTTCATCTAAGATAAACACGATTATAAGTACATGACCTCCTTGCAATATTTACCCAATGAAAGCACAATCCAGAAAGTTACTGGAATTATTTTACAAAGTACTTACACGACGGTGCATCTCTTGTGGATCAATTTGAGGAAGTATACGGATTGCTTTATTGATTGCATGTACCATATCACTAGGATCTGGCTTAGCAAGAACAATCATATCATCTGGTAGAACCTAAAAACCGAAAGTAAAGCATTTTGAAATGAAACATACAGAAAAGAAGCCAAGAAAACTGAACAAAAGTAATCATAGTTTGCAATGCAAACGTAAAATAAATTAATTCCCACCTCTGGAACACCACCAACACATGTACTCACTGTCAATAGTCCACAACTAGCAGCCTCTAGTATCGCTATGCAGAATGCCTCTGTTAGAGAACTATCAAAAGAAAACAGACCCTTTCAAATCAATTGTGTGATACCAAGAGTACCACAATATCAACTGCATAAACATATCTACACATATGTGGCAAGTTACAATGGATAGTAATGCAGTCTCTCAAGTCCAAGAAAGAAAGAAGAAATTGAATAAATAAATTTCCTGTTTACTAGAACAAATGAGAGGTGTATATATACCTGTTCAAGAATATATGACCAGAGGTCAAAACTGATTGCACTTTGGCATGAGGGACAGCACCTAACATATCAACCCGGTCTTGAAGAGAGTGTTTTTCCCTCATCTCTTCCAGCCTTACTCTCTTGGGTCCATCTCCTCCAATGATGAAGCGGACCTTCACAGATACTTTTCAGATGAGAAGCGAAATAAGTGGCACTCTAAACTCTCTTTTTGTTAATTTTTATGTGATACACCCTCCCCCAAAAAAACCCAAAAGAAAGCACGGCCCAGGTAGGTCACAGGATTGGCAGGAAGAAAGCAAGTGACTTCCAACTTCTATTTCATCAAATGATTGCAAGCCTACAACTGCATGTCTATCATATTAACAATCACTATAAAGCCAGAAACATATACATTAACATGTCAAGCTCCAGTGAGAAGGCAGCTACAAATTACCACATCACATATAACTCATTGTTACACCTCTCTATTCCTAATTAGATTATTTCAAAACCATTAGTTTTAAAAGGGAGGTTTATTATCTCAATTGGCCAGAGAATTATGCTACCAACATGAAGGATGCAAGTTCAGACCTTCATGGGCCAATTTCAACAAAAATATTACTATTTATCCAAAAGAAAAGTTTTGGGCACGATTTATAAATCTGCAATGTTCATTACAAGAAACTAAAAATACAAGGGAAATTTGGCATAAAAGGACTCATCTTCAAAAAAAACAACCAGGGTCGCCCTTAGTCATCAACACCACTATGTGGTATGTATTTAGCTAAACATTGTGCAAACTATCATCCTGTAAGCAATGATTATCCCAGAGGTCAGCACTTTTAACCAAATGCAGTTATTCCAAGGCACACGCAAATAGGATGGAAGTGATATGCAAATCAGGAGGTCATGTCTTCTAAGCAAGCTAACAGAGAGCAACAAGCAAGATTTGACAAAGAAAAAGCAAATCCAGCAGGATTCTAGCAAACATGCTTTGGTAAGAAACAAAAATGCAGAATAATGGTTTCAAGAACAACTTACATTTGGGTATAAATGGCATACTTCCGGAATAACTTCAACCAACAGATCCGCACCCTTCCGGTAAACCAATCTACTAATCACAACAATTACAATTGGATCCATGCTAAGTCTCTCTGGAGCAGGCTTGAACATGGTTGTGTCCACAGCATTTGGTATAACAAAAACCTTCTCTGGCGGCAGCCCTGATCTTAGGACTGTGTTTTCTTTACTTGTATGTGAGACACAAATGGCTTGACTCACATCCGCTAAAGTAAACTGCAGAATTTTATTCATGTGAATGCTTCCAACATCAGCAAAACCGTACAGTGAATGATCAGTGAACAAGACTTTGTAACCCATAGTTCGTGCATGCATAAGAGCTTCATGACAAAGAGTCGAAAAGGCCTGATGCCCATGAACCAGTGAGATCTTTTCCCGAATGAGAATCGTCCTCACAATTGGAAGTGTTCCGTAAAAGGTCGGCAATGTATTTTGCATAAGAAATGGCTTCCAAGGTACATAATAAACTTTTAAGCCATTCGTCATGTACCTCACTCCAGAACGGTTCGCATAAGCATGAGTCATGACCACCACCTGAAATGAACAGAAGGGATGGTTTAGACTTTAAACATACACCAAACTAGTTTAATGCACCCAGTAATTTTCACAAAATATATAAGCAATTATTTAATTGCCAACCTTATGCCCAAGCTTAAGCAAGCATTGTGATAAAAGATAGATGTGATTCTCCACACCTCCGAAGTTTGGGTAGAAAAAGTCAGATACCATCAAAATTCTATGCCTTCCCTCATTGCATTCCATAACTACAAAGAAACAGAATTGTTAACACATGACAATATATGATAGATAAATATATCGTAACCGATGACATCAATTGATTCAAGCAAGTTTTGCTAATTGATGATATTCAAATATAGTCTTTCTAAGTCTGCTATGAAGTTCAACCATATACTGAAGTTGGATGCATAATGGCAGTAGTACAGGGCACCAACGGCGGTTTTAGTAATCTGGTACATGAATCTCCAAGATCCCATGTCAATATGTAATGTACATTTATCATTTATCATTATCCTCTTTTAATTTGCTTTTGCTTTTGTTTTTATGTATATTGATCATGGATTAGGATTTGAGTTCACCCTCATAATTTTTCAAGTTCATTTGGTTATATACTTCTGATGTTTGATTTGATGTGTTTATATCTATTATGATCATGTGATTTTTACCATAAAAAGTGGAAGGAGGATCAGACAAGTAACTGCATTTTTACAAACACTTGGTAGACATAACTCATGAACTCTAAATCTGTGATGATAGGCTTGTATCTTTCATCAACGAGAACAGTGTATGCAGAACAACAAAATCGAAATCTCAGTTCATATTCTATTCACAGCAACCAATCCACATATAAGTCAAAAGTATATTTCAACAATACAAAATCATTACTCATCAGGATAAACAATCCCAAATCATCAAATCCCGAAATAGATAAATGAAATTGCATGGTTAATACCTGAAATCGCCAATAAAGGGCGAGGATGGTGAGAGCAAGACAGTGGGTGGGGGAGAGAGAGAGACACTGATGCGCCGATCGCAAGAGAAATAGAGAAAAAAGAGGGTAAAATCAACAACATACGGTGATCAAAGCAAGTCATCTTTGTGTCATGTGATTCTATATGCGTTGCGGATGGTGCATTGAGAATTAATACATGAAAATCAAGCATTAAAAAAGATTCTGGTTTTCGGACAACAGGGTGAGGCAGCCATTGCTGAAGCCAGCAAAAGAATGCTTTGGATAAATATGAGACATAGAAGGTAAGGAGACAATGGCATGCTTGCAGAATGTGGAGATAATGGAATTAACTAAACAAAGTATTGAATCCCAACACTAACACTTTCAAGCAATGTTACTCCAACATTGTACAACAAAAACTGCATATCGGAATTGACAGTCAAGGGAGCGGAATGTGAGTTATACCTTCCTACGATCGAAAAGGAGACGAATCTCCTACTTAGTTGAATTGCATCGATCTACAAAGATACACCACATTCTCCGTGGCCCAATAGGATAGACATGGTGACTGGCACCGGATCTATTGTTGTGGCTTGAGACGGCAGCCTGAATTTGTATCCAAAAACACGTGAGATCGCCAAAGATATTGCAATTGATTTAGATGTAGAAGAACCAGTGATATGGCTTGGTGGTCGGTGAAAATGGCGATGGTGATGGGGTCTGTGAGGTTGTATTGAGCTTTTATGTAGTACGAAATGTCTGAATAATTTAAACAATAATTTTACCCTTGTTGTCACCACCAGAAACTTGATTCATGGACAACTTCAAAACCCCAATACAGGCAAAGGATCTTGCAACTCATCCACGGAAGATTTTGCATTTGGAATGAATTCTAAAAATCACCAACCAGTGATGGTATTAAGAGGGTTGTTACCTAAAGCCAAAACCTCTAAGTTATAGAGGGTAGGAAAAGAATCTGAAGGAATTGTATCAAACTGACTATAATCAGGATATCTCCATCAGAATCCAGACAACCCATTGAAAGATGGTAAAGGACCAGTGAATTGAAGACCTAGTTTGGTGAGAATAAACAATTGATTTATATACTTGGCAAAGGATTCATACCTTGAACCTGAATCTGAGAAACCCTAGTTTGAGAACACAGTACGTATTTCTTAGATCTATTGATAACTTATAACTCTTCTGTTGTCTTCAATTTTTACTCTTCTTTTCAATTCTCCATTTTCTCAACAGAGAGCGAGGCACAGGGAAGAGCGCGGAGGATGGGGGGAGGAACCTATTTCATCAACCTCCTCCAATATGTCAAATATACCAAAAACCACACAAAGCAACAATTGTTTTTACCATCTTTTAAGACATATTATTTGTTTTCATTATAAATTGACTTCACAAATCTATTTTTGTACAGACAAATTGTATGAAAAAAGTAATGTACTTTAACTTGATTCCTATTTTGAGTAACATATTTTGAAAACTTCCATTTTGGTACCTAAGATGTAACATTTTAAACATTTAAGTACCCGGGTAACCCAGTGAAGACTACTTTTAGACTAAAAAAAGATTAATTTTAGATTAAAAAAATCCACGTCACTAACTAGGTCAACAAATAATACCAAGTTGGATACCACATTACTCGTTACATCAGTATGATAACCGGTTAATACTTCAACCAGTTATCCGGGTACTTAAATGTTTACAACTTTACATCCTATGTACCAAAATGAAAGTTTTGGAAGTACGTTACTCAAAATAGGAATCAAGTTAAAGTACGTTACTTTTTCATGCAATTTGTCCTTTTGTATAATCATTCAAACTTTTCCAAAAACAATATTGAGATGGTTTATCCCCATTCGAATGATTTCCATCGCACCAAGCCCCAAGTCGCGTCAACTCAACTCTCAAGCCATCCATTTCGGGTGTAGAATCCGATATGACCGAAACCAACTTTTTCATTTGGTTGGTTGCTCATATATTTCATTCTTGGTTTCTTTCACTAACTTAGATAGCGCAGTTATCTTTTTTCTCTTTTTACTTGTTTCTTCTTCTTCACTTAGAGGATCGAAGAAATGAGAAATTGTATTTGAAGGACTTGGAAAGGAAGGAACATCAAATTCAGTTGCAAAATTTTCATTGTTTTCCATATTCATATTCTCTGGTGCGTTTGTAGCTGATTCAACTATATTTCATGTTGCTCGATCTTTCCCCAATACCAACTTCAACCTCTCGTAAGCCGAGAATGCCTTATTAGCCGTGTAATTTTTGTTGGGATGTTTCTAAGACAAAAAAACAAACAAACAATTATTAAGAGAAGTAACAGGAAACATTATATATAACCCATTACCATTACTAGTATCTAACTTTTAGATACTCCTCCAAAATCTTGGGAGCTTCGACAGTCACACATTGATTTGCGTCATTCCATCCAAATCCACATGTATTCAACATATCATAAGCGGCTGAAATTTATCTTTTAGCCGCTTAATCTTGTTTTGTACCAGAAACCTACATGATTAGGTGAGTATTCATGAACGCCCTTCTACATTGTCAAGTATGATGAAGAAGCGAGAAATCGATAGCAGAGAAATGGAAAGGAGTGAAGAGAAATCATACCTGAATGGAGGTTTCGAGATGCAACAATGGAGTTGGAATGGAGGTTTTCGAGCTGCACAAATGGAAGCCGATGGAATAAGAGGAGGCGATGATCTAGAAGGTAGGAGGCGATGAGATGAGCTGCACAAATGGGGATGAATTAGGTCTTGTATTGGAATAAATAACGAGGGTAATATTGTAATTTTAAATTGAGTCCCATGTTGTTCCATCTTTTTTAGTGGAACAAAAAATGCCAAGTTTTGTCCCATGAAAATTAAGAATAATCCACTTTATTCTATGTTTTTTTTGTTCATGGCATGTCAAACATGAGACTATTTTTTTGTCACATCTCGTCCCATGTAGTCTGCATACCAAACGCACCCTATATGAACTATTTATCAAATTCAAGTCGATTTATTCAAATGAAAAGCAATATGAAACGTTAATTTGCAAAAATGTGGCTTCATTAAAAAATGATTTACCACATGGATCGATTGATGTTTCACAATGTTCCTCAATAAAAAACCTTTTATAATCAAATATAAGGAGGATAATAAATAGAAGGGAAAATTGCACAAAATAGCAATCTATTTTCATAAATTTCTTTATTATAGCATTGTACTTTCAGTTTTTTTTATTACAACAATGTACTTTCAAACTATTTTTTATTAGGACATTGTACTTTAAATTTTTTATCCATTATAGCATTGGGTAACCTTTTGATTTAAATTTACTCATTATACTAGGTTTCCATGCCACCTCATTGTCCACGTAGGTTGTCCACATGTACTATAGTGATGTGACTTTCTTATTACATCATTGTACTTTCAAAATTAATTTATTATAACATCTACTAGTTCTTATTAAACACTGTATTTTTAATTTTAATATTTAGATATTTTACATGTTATTTAATAAATGAATTAAAAAAATTCTAAATTGTTCATTAATATACCAATATCAATAAAACTAGTAGAACACAACTTATCTCGCTAACATCTTTAAAAAAAATATGTGTTTTTAATAAAAAAAAAAAAATAAGAATTGTTCCTTTTTTACCAAAAATATTATCTTTTAAAGAATATATTATATTTGTTCAAAAACTTTTTACTTTACGTATAAATATATTAAATTAATTAGACTTTTTTGAATTATTTATTAATATAACAATATTAAAAAATTGTAGATAACAATTTATTTCGTTAATATTTTAAAGAGAACTTTAAAATATATGTATTTATTTGAACAACATAAAATAGGAAAAATTACCTTTTTACAAACAAAATATATCTCGAAAATACTGTTTCATATTTATTTAATAAATATTTTACTCTAAGAATATTTAATTTGAATGCAACTTAATACGAAAAAATAAAAAAACAAATAAATGTTTTTTTAGATTATAGCAATGAAAAATGAAAATCACTAATAATAATTTGAAATATGTTTTTATTTTATTAGTTAAGTCATCAAAATGATGTGGCATCCACATCACCTCATTAAAGCCACACAAKCAWAAAAGTCAAAGGGTTAACCGGTTTAAAAGGTAACAGGTACCCATTGCTATTATGGGTAGATTTTTTAAAGTACAATGCCTTAATAAAAAATAATTTGAAAGTACATTGCTGTAATGAAGAAAAACAAAAGTAGAATGTTATGATAAGAAATTTTATGAAAGTAGATTGTTATTTCATGCATTTAACCCTAAATAGAAACCACTACTCTAAAAGACTCAACACACCAATCGTCGTGGCACGTTGGTGGCTCAAGGCTCATATATGCCACAACGTTAAAGTTTGTGGCATGCATGGGTTGATTTTCCTTATGCATTTACCGTCTTTTTAGTGAAGTAATGAATACAAATATAAAGATATATCTTGATTTATTGGACATCGAAATATTCTTTTATATGATAAGAGGCCTACAAATAGCCTAAAACAGTATCCTGCTACTAATTATACCATGAACATATAATCAGGAAAAAAAAAAGCAAAAATCAACTAAATCAGTTTAGGCACTGTTTGGAAAAAAAATAAGTTAGTTTATTTGTTTGGTACTTTTTTAGATGGACATAAACTAGCTTATTTATAAACTAATTAGAATAGTTTTTAGAAGCTTAGGGGCTGTTTGGCAGTTGCTGAATGATTTTTATGCAGAATCATTAAGTGGTCAGAATGATTAAAAGACTCTCATGATATTGTGCGAAATGAAATATATTTGTTTGATAATTATTTACAATGAAATTAGGGTTCTTAATGGTTAAGGGAGGCTCATGATACAAAATCATTCAGAAAGTTTTAGAACCATTAAGAGACAGATTTTTTTTTTACCAAACAAGATTACCTCTTAACGATTCAGATATTGCCTCTTAATGAAACCATTAAGAGGTAAACAAACAACCCCTTATTGTCACTTTTTCCAATTACAACTTTCGTTAATATTAGTTTCTATTTATTATTATTTATTAGAAAATAAATATTAATTATTCGTAAAATATTAAAAAATTAATTATTACTAATATAACATGTTAAATTTTATT